AAAAATGTTGTAACAGTTTTGCTGACTGGTCAGTTAAAGAGTCAGTGTGAGGCTCCACTGCACTAGGGTGTCTATGCTGCACAGCTGCTCCAAGAAGGAACCAGTTCCTCCATGCACCATTTACTGCCACCTCTGAGAGGGCTGGCAGAGATGTAAGGTGGCTGCCAAGCCACGCTGGCTGAGTGCTAACTGGAGTCACCGATCTGGCCACACAGCCAGCAGCCCCGTGGGCTGTGCCATGACCCCAGACATTTGGAGGCACAAGTGGTTACCTCTAGGTGAGGTCCAAGCAGTTCAATGCTTCACATCTCACCTCCTGCCCCTCGCTGGAGGAAATCTTGCTTTGCCCAGCATGGAGTCAGAGGCTGCTGCCTTGACTTGCAAGCAAGCAGGGAGAGGGGACACCTCCGTGAGATCCAGCCCTCACAGAGGCAGAGGCTGGGCTATCCCGAGCTGGACTACGAGGTCCTTGGGACCTTGGGGCTCCATTCAAATGGCCCTTTGTGCCCGCTGGGGTTGTGTGTGCTGGAGAGCCAGCTCTCAGCGGGGGTTCCTTTGGTCTCTTCAAGCAGTTGCTAGGGAAAATTCCATGGTACAGGGTACTAGAAGGTAAAGGGGCCCAAGATAGTTGGTTTATATTCAAGGACCACTTATTCTAAGCTCAGTATGAGAGCATTCCAATGGGTAGGAAATCAAGAAAGGGAGCCAGGAGACCTACATGTTTTAACAGGGAACTGCTGGGCAAATTCAAGTGGAAGAAGAGAGTCTACAGATCATGGCAGGAGGGAATGACCACTTGGGAGGAATATAGGACTGTTGTCAGAGAATGTAGGGAGGCAACTAGGAAAGCTAAGGTCTCCTTGGACTTAAACCTTGCAAGGGAGGTGAATGACAACAGAAAGGGCTTCTTCAAATACATTTCAGACAAATCTAATGCTAGAGGCAATGTAGGCTCACTGCTGAATGAGGTGGGTACCCTGGTGAAAGAGGATACCAAGAAGGAAGAGTTACTGAATGCCACCTTTGTCTCTGTCTGCACTGCTGGAAACTGTCCTCAGGAGCCCCAGACCCCTGAGGCCCCAGAGGAAGTCAGGATAAAGGAGGAGTTATTCTTGGTTGATGAAGACTGGGTTAGGGATCAGTTAAGCAATCTGGACATCCATAAATCCAGGGGCCCTGATGGGATGCACCTACGGGTGCTGAGGGAGCTGGCAGAAGTCATTGCTAGACCACTCTCCATCATCTTTGGTAAGTCATGGGCAACAGGAGAGGTGCCTGAGGACTGGAGGAAAGCAAATGTCACTTCAGTCTTCAAAAAGGGCAAGAAGGAGGACCTGGGTAACTACAGACCGGTCAGCCTCACCTCCATCCATGGAAAGGTGATGGAACAGCTTATCTTGGCGCTGTCTCCAGGCATATCAAGGATAAGAGGGTCATTAGGAGCAGTCAGCATGGTTTTACCAAGGAGAAGTCATGTTTGACCAACCTGATAGCCTTTTATGAAGACATAACCAGGTGGATAGATGATGGTAAGGCAGTGGATGCGGTCTGTCTTGATTTCAGTAAAGCATTTGACATCGTTTCCCATAGCATCCTTGCAGCTAAGCTGAGGAAATGTAGTCTAGATGATCAGGTAGTGAGATGGATTGT